CACATAAATATGATCACAATAGTCCTTAGCCATGCCTTTTTTAACTCTTTAAAGTTATTATGAAAATACTAAACAGCTCTTTCTTTGAAATGTGCTGCAAATAATGTACATTTGTAAAAAGATCCAGAAAATGAACCTTATAATGTTATGGTTATGCACTAGTTAGTGGTGATAGACTGTCAAAGTAGTAAAGAATGTAATTGGTTAAATAGGCAAACAATAGCAAAGTGTTTTTTGCAAAACTGAATGTAATGGTGCACCTTCTATGCGATTTACTGGATGAGAATTAACATGATGACATAGAGATTTTAAACCACAAGTACATTGTACTGACTAATTCCAGTAGTTAGGCTGAATTGTACTCTGATGAATACAATAGAGTGATGAATTGCATTAGAGGTTGTCTGGCCCAGCTGATAGAACAGCAGTCTGAAGAATGATCTAGGAAGCTGCTGGAAGGGAGAAGATGGGGAGGTGGGAGGAGTGTGAGAGAAATAACAGGCCATTGAGGAACTGAGATACTGTAGTTGTAGGAGAACCGAAGTAAGCAAGGTTCATATTCAACCTTCATCCAAAACGTCTGTTAAAATCTCTGTGTGTCCTCATTTTATCTGGAGCACAAATACTCTGAAAACTGAAATCACCCTTTTCCAAAATGTTTACTTTTGTAAATTTGATAGAACGTTTGTATATATTATTCTTGTTTACAGTATTGGAAGAATATGCTACCAGGTGCCTAGAAAAATAGCACGCAAGGATTTTTATATTGCATTTTAGTTATGCATTTTTATATTATAGTAATACATGAAAGTAATAATTATTATACAATATTTTACAGGCTTTACAGTCAAAATGTTGTTTCCTTTTTTCCAGTATGGAAAAAAAGTTACCTGTTCCATTATTGTAGTAATACATTACAATAATAATTCCTTGCATTTGTATAACACCATCCCAAGAAGCAAACAATAGAATGTGAGTAATTCATAAAAATATTTTAAATTCCGTGTGGACTTTAAAATCCTCATGCTCACCTATAAGGCTCTGCATGGCTTGGCACCTCAGTACCTGTCTGAACTTTTATTGCCCTACTCCTCACCTCGCAACCTTCGCTCTTCTAATTTTGGTCTCTTAACTGTTCCTCAAGCCTGTCTACATTCTATGGGTGACAGGGCCTTCTCCTGTTAAGCCCCCAAGCTCTGGAACTCTCTGCCCAAAGATATCAGACAGTCACCTTCTCTAAACTCCTTCAAATCCAGATTCAAAACCTTCTTCTTTAGAAGAGCCTTTACTTAACTGTGTCCATTCTTCACCCCTCTGCTTCTCTTAGTACCACCATCCACAGTCTCCTCTGTATATTGTAATTGTGTTTTTATCTTTTTATTTAATGTTGTTCTCATTCTGTAAAGCGCTTTGAGAAGCCACCTTTTAAGGCACTATATAAAATAAAGTTTATTATTATTATCTCATGAATTTAAAAGCAAACTTGGTTTAATATAGTGCTTTTAATCCCAAGGTGCTGTACAACAAAAGCATTCAATAAACAGAAAGCTCAATTTTTCAGTGTTCAGAGTCTGGTATTGGGAACAGAAAGAGGGCCAAAAGCACAAATGACATGTATATGTACAGTATAGCTGAGTAGTTCACTGATAGGAGCAAAACCATTCAAGCAGCAGTATTTTTAATATTATTCTTATATGCAAGGAAGTTTAAAACATGTTATATATGTTTAGGATCCCCAGTACATCCAGTTTGACCTTTGGTTACAAAGATCTGCAGAGTTTGTAATCCTTATAATCTAGAAAACTGTGTTTGGTAAAGAGCAGTGTCTTTTGTCTATGAAATTCCTGCCATTATGTGGAGTAGGCAGAAGCATTACCACCAGCATAAGTTGATAAGTACTGGAAATTTGTTGATGGACCAATAACCAGTCTTCTTTCCTCTAGACCAGACATTCCAATGTTTCCCAGTTCCTTTGTCTAAAACACTTTGAGACCCTCTGGGGTATTACATCTTGTGAACTGCTGTCTTTACTTTAAATACTTGAAGGGCTACAGATGTAACTGTGTGTGGGAAAATTAATATTAATGTTCTAAAAAAATAAACAGCCGATAGACTGGAAAATGTATCCACCAGGAAAACCCATGCAGAGATAAAGAGCAGACTACACATCTTTAATTTTAATATTTCTTGTTATCAGGCATATGTGTTGAAAGGTCAGTTGTTGGAAATCCAATTATTTGTTATAATTAGTGCCAGGAGCCCTTCCAGGGTGAATGTTCCTGTGGAGTTTAAAAACAGTATTTTTGTTAGCTTTACAAAGTTTAATTTTAAACACAGCAAGTGTGTTATGCAGGGAACTTTCACATATTAAGAAAACATTTTAATACCATGTAAGTAGTTTCTCAATACTAGTTCTACCCTTCAACATGGAGTGCTATATTCTGGCAGCCTCTATATGGTACAGGACTACAAGTGGTAGGGTGCTGAGAAAATATCTTGTATGCAAATGCAAATATCATGTTTATTCCTCGGCAAGGGTCAAACCACAAATCTGTGATAATGAAATATAGGGCATTTCAGGTTTTCTTGACTCTGGTCCTGGAGACCCTGGAGAGGAGTAAACCCTAAAATAAGCCTTTAAAAATCATTTAACAATTAATGATATAATTTGTTCAATTCCAATTACAATTACCGAGAGCTGACGTTTCCAAATGATCTTTTATGATCTCATTTTTATTCCAAACAGATTACCTATTGAATTGATCACAGTTAAATTGTTCCGGGTCTTTAGAAACCAGCAATTGCATGGATGTCTGTAAAATCATGGGTGCATAATTCCAGTCAACAGGGTCCAGAACCCAGGTTTTCTGGACCCTGGGGTGCTTTAATTCAAGATCATAGAATAGTGTTATAAATGGTCCAATTAAGCTAATGGCTGGCTCAAATGGGTCATTTAGAATGAAGGTGTGAAAAAAAAAAGAAATATTGACCCTGGAGTTGTACAACACTGAGATTTTCCACAGATTGTTGTGTTAAGTCCTACTGATGCCTGCCTGGGAGTGCTGTTTATATATCCCTGTCAATGTGCACTGGTCCCTGTTTAGTCCTTTTGCCTAGTAGAGGTGCCTTTAGCCCCCAAGACAGGGTCTCCTAATCACAGGCAATGCTGGGTTTCATACTGTGTTACTTAGCCAGTTAGGTGGAACAAAAATCAGTGTGGGGCCCCAGGATCAGGATTGGGAACCACTGACCTAAATACAAATTGTCAAAACCTCATCACATTTTTTTTTGTAGAGTAATTAGCAGTTTTAATTTTAAGAGATTTTCATTCCCATGCCTTCAAGTCAAATTGTAACTTGAAGTAACAGCAACACTGCTATGAAATTTGTTAGCTGCTGTCTGGGGCTACAAAGTAAACACCCTCTTCACACTTAGATAATCTATACAGTACATTCATTTTCTAATGGTTTAATTCAATTCAGAGTTGTGGGGGAGACAGCCCTATCTTGGTATATACAGTACACACAAACACAATCACACCAGGGCCAAATTTCCCAGAAGCCACTTGACCTATCTGTATGTCTTTGGTCTGTGTCTTTGGTCACACAAACATGGAGAAAACATACAAACTCCATGCAGACAGTGCCCCAAGTCTGGAATTGAACCCAGGCCCCCAGTACTGTAAGACAGCAATACTAATCACATCATAAAGTTGTTGTCAGGGAGAAATGGAGAGTGTTCAGCCACAAAACAGGATAAAAGTACGTAGAGAACAGGTGAGTGGGGCACATAGTGAAGATAGCCACAGCAGAAGGTGCATTCTGACCCGTAAATACAGTAGGAGTACAACATTAAGTTAAAAATAATACATAAAATTAAAAAATAACTCCAATATAAGTTGTACATCCTCACACTGAACCTGATTCTATGGTCTTCTGCTTGATGTTACAGAAAATACAACATTGCATTTATTTCTTATTTTGGTAGTTTGATATTTATAGAAATAAAACAAGAAAACGTCTATAAAGGTTAAAAAAATCTGTCAAGCTCAGATGAGAAATATTTTCAGAGTATTCATGTAATAAATAATGTTTAAAATGGGTACGTTTGTCAAGTGGAGTTTAAATAGCTGTGGAATTACTAATAAACCAGAATGTTCAAAAAACAAAAAACAACAATCTCAAATTCAACAAAAATCAAACCAATAGAAGTTTATTTAAAACAAAAAAATCCATAAACATATTACCATATAGTTGTGGTCTAACACAGTACAATAATAAAAGTGACCTGGATATAAATAACTACAATTAACATACAGAATTATGAAATGGTTTTGACCTCTATATAAACATTTAATAATATGGCACAATCAATCATTATATTTCAAATTTGTTATTCTTGCTTCTTGATGTTCTTCTTGCCTTAAAGGGGTATTGAAAAAAAAAGTTTTAAAATTACCTAACATTTATAAATTTATATGTATTTGAAATGTCAAAAATAAACTTGCACCACATTTCCTCTTTGGAATAATATACTGAGAGGCATTAAAAACGCAATAAATGAGTATTGGAACCAACACATTTGTTGCTTTTGTAATGCCTCTCAGTATATTTGTAAACTTTAATGGGCCTCTTGCCATGACAGTTTAGGTATGAGAATACTCTTCTTGGTTATACCCAATTTGGTTTCCTGTGTTGTCTTTCGGTTTTCTTTTTACAATATATGGCTGTAATTGTCCCCTGTACACCTAATGCGGGTCTGGCTTATGCTATCTACAGCACACAATATAAAGAGAATACCCAGGGAAACACTTGAACAGGAGGAAAAAAAATATTTATTGTAGTTCTATTGCTATGAGATAGAAAGAATCAATAGATGGTGACGACAAAAAGGCCAAAAATATGTAAGTTCAGACACAAAGAATATGTTAAACAACCATAGGAAATCCAATGTTACTGTTTCACAAGTTAAATCTCTCCAGAAACCTTTGGAAATTAAACCACTTAGTGAGATAAGATAATATGGCAAAAACAAAACTGATAAGTGTGTGGTGCATACAGGTTAGCAACAGGTTAGCATAGGTCTCGAAACACAAGGTGTAAAAAGGAAAACAAAGAACGAAAAACAATACTTGATTAACAGAAAAGGACAAGGCACATGCAAGGACACACTTGGTGACCTCATTTGTTTTTAGCTGCCAAAGGCTTGCGGCTGATCTTCTTTGACTTGTCGTTGCTCTTCTTTGGAGGCTCTGGGTTGGCTTGCATGTGCCTCCCATAAAGACTGCAAGAAAGAATGAAGCACTAATTACAGATGGGTAGAAAAAGGCCTTTTTTTGTGTTAAATTCCTCTGCTACCCGCATTAATACTTGATCAGAGAAGGTGAATCCTCCTGGATTCCTGCCAAAAGTCAAGCAGTATGTACTGGCAGAGATATGGAGCATTTACTGTGTCCTGTCTTTTCAATATAAAATATTTTATTTTCATGCCTCAATAGAAATGTTGGAAATGCAAATTTTCTGAATCTAGTCTTCAGTGATGCTAAGAACTATTATGTAAAACACCTGAATATGAAGAATACATAGGAGAAAGAAAAAAATTAAGAGTTTTCATAAAAAACCTTGGGTGGTCAAACTTGGCACCTGGATTCCAGGTCATTGCAAAACGTTGCTACAGCTAAACTATAATTATTCATGTGATCTGCTGCACATGGATATATTAAACTTAAAGGATCTGCAGTTAAGTTACTGCAAGGTTAAAAGTCCTGTAGTGGCATAAAATCCAAGTGAAAAATTACTTTTTTTATGTAGTTCAAGTAGGTAACTGCATCAGCATGCATAGGCTGCAAAGGAACAAGTAAAGGTTTATTCCATGCTGAAAAGAGAATAAAAGAAAAGTATTTTTTATACTGAATTTCTTTTAGAAACTTTCTCTTATAGTTGCAACACTTATACAAAGTTATCAAGAAAATTATAAGCTTTTTGTTCTACAAGTTCAATGACATTTTATTAATATCTGTCAGTAACAGAGTTGAGCAATGTTGGTTTACTGCATAAATCACAGTAAACCACAGTAAACAATAAAAATGAGGGTAGAAGACCCAAATTAGAAACAATATCAGCTATCTGTGATGCATGCATTGCACCAGGTTAAGATCCTGTCTAGGGAGACTCTTTCCCTTTCCTTTTATAAAGCCTGTATACGTCTGTGCCCGTTACCTGCTTTGTGAGCACTAGAAGCCACAGCTCATACCACCAATGTTCAACGGGAATCAAAATGTCTGTCAAATCCTTAATTCACAAAAAATCAATTATACTGATTCTCAATCCTGGTTCGGGAATATCTCTGTCTCATCTTGTTTTTGATCCAACAGGGCTCTTAATCGTTACTAATAATCAGAGTTTATAACAGATCATCTTGCATCTTCAGTTCATATTCTTAGATTAAAATATGTTAGACCATATTTGCACAGTATTTATAAAAAGCAGAAGTTACTTTATTGATACATACATTATATAGGTATTGTCACTATCGGAAAAAGGGTTATTCACTAAACTATATACCATAAACTATATACTTTATGGTGTATATATATACATACTTTTAAACTAGGTAACATTGTTATAAATGTAAATACGTATAAATGCTATTAACATGTAAGTACATTTTGATTATATAAATTAGCCAAAAACCTTGTTTTAGAAAGAGACTTTTGTCTCTGACTAGCTACATTTGTTGAACAGTACTGTATATCAAAAAGGCCTGAGATGATCATTGTTATTATCATTGAATTCTTAAAAGTAATAACACTTTTATGTTATTAATAGTACTTTTACTGCCTTTTACAAAAGCACTATTAATCATTTCATTGAAAAATAAGATAAATTCATTTCTAAAACAACCTAATATGCAGGGACACAACTATTTTTGAACTGTCTTGAACAACATTTTATTTAATTACCTTTGCATTCAAAAGTGCATTCATACACTCAATATTTGATAATAGTTTTCCTAAAATTGTGTTTTAAGTAATTTCTTCCTGGAGTATGAAATTCTGCTCAAATCAAGGCTCATCCTAGAGACATGATGGACTAAATACGATAGCACTGGATGAAAATGACCAACACCCAAGTTTCTAAAAGCAGTTTTTCCTCTGTGGCTGTGTTTTCCTTTCATCTTACTATTTTATTATAATGCAAGAGTAATGTGAAACCAGGTAATTAAAAATGCACCTGTTTTAAACAGCTTTCCAGGATTTTCAAAAGCTGTTCTGATTGACAGCTGACACAGTGAATCTACACAACAAAAGTAGTAGGAATATTATATAATTAAATGGTATAAACCCATTTTACAACAAAATACTTACAACTAAAATGTCTTTAAGAACATATGAACATTGCACCAGCAATATCTTATCATAATGTAGGTCAATTAAATGTAGATGGAAACATGTTGCACTCATGTAATTTGAATTACCCGAGGAAGCATTTCTTATTCTGAATATTAAGTGCTTGAATAGGTTTTTGAATATACTGTGAACACCTTCCAACTGACAACCATTCATTCACTTTGACATTCAGGATAATATTAGTAATTCCAATGTGCACCTGTTATTAAAGATGCAAGAGACACAAGCTTTCCTTATTGCCTTCTGATTTTCTGTATTTACTTAACTGGTTCCATTCTTCACCCCTCTGCTTTTCCTAGTGCCACCATCCACGGTCTCCTCTGTATATTGTAATGGTGTTTTATCTTGTGTATTCTTTTTATTTATTGTTGTTCTCATTCTGTAAAGTGCTTTGAGAAGCCACCTTTAAAGGCATTATATTAAATAAAGTTTATTATTATTATCCTATGGGTAGGAGAGACCCATATTTGAACTGCTTTGTGTAGGAATCTTCAACAATCCTTTATCAGACAGACACTTATTCCTACCTGAGCCTATCCTAGAAAAAACAGAGTTCCAGATGACACATGGCATATTCTGGATGGGGTGCTAGTCCATTGCAGAGCACACACACAGGCAGTATAGAGATACTATCCTATAATGAAAATCATGAAAAGAAGAGGTACTGTTTTCCAGTTTGCTCAAAATGGACATTTTTTCCTTGTAAGCCTTCTTTTAAGCAAAAAATGTAATTCAGTAGAGGGGGGAAAAACAACTAGTAGACAATTACATAAATTGGGGTGAGCTGCGGAGATAGAGTGCCCGTTTACAGCTGAGTGAGTTTCATTCCTAAGCAGAAAGCCCAAGGGCTCAGTAATGTGACAGAGAGAAATGGTATCAGGGCTATGGCTGAGCTGCTGGACTGTGATTGATGGTACTGGGATAGCTACTCAGCCATCACTGCCACGCTAATAAGTAGCACTGATTAAATGTTGACAAAGTAGCTTGTGTGATTAAAGCGGCCAGCATGCAGGACGCAGCTACACAAGTGTCTGCAGTGCTGGCAGGTTTAAGCGTTTGTAATAAAAGCGTGTCATTTGAGAAATAATTCTAAAAGCAGATAAGCAAAATGTCAAGTAAAGGTTTTAGTTATAATATAGTTCATATTAAATATTTACCAGAGGCTGGCAATAAGACAGTCTCAGTAGGCTGTGTGTACAAAAAGGCAGGGGAAGAATTAATCTGAGTTGCACCAGCATCACCTATGCAAAATGGCATAGGCCAGTCGGCTGTTCCATTTTGTACTTCTCTTCCAATGCAAAAAAAAAAGCTCTTAAAAATTAAATAATGCAGTTAATAAGTAGTTGGATTCATTACAGAGTTGCTCTTTGTGATTCTTATTGCTTTCCAGAGATACAATGAGGTGAAAAAGCAGACAAGGATATGCCTCAAAGGGAAACAAGACTAAGCCTTAGAAAAAGAATTCAGTGCAGCCATGAGCAGAGCTGCTTAGAGGCTTGTATAAATTGCACAGTGAAATCCTGATAGATGGCTTTTACAGTGATACTGAGGCTCAACAATAAGCACGTCTAAAACTAAGAGCAGGAGCTTGTTCAGGGATCGCTTTAGGAAAGCTGTGAGAAAACATTATTGCAACAAAGCCATAAATAAAATGTTGAGTTTTATGGAAGAATTAAAGATTGGCAAGGACTGTGATTTTGTTGGTAATCAGGTGAAATTCTGTTTGTACTATTCGTCAATTAAATGATGCACAGTGCTCAAGACAGTAATAGTTGTGGTGAACAAAACTGCTTGCCATAATGACTACAGGTCACCCTTTTTTCCATTTTTCCAGAAATTTTCATAGGCCTCCACATCTGGAACTATCTCACCCATGTCTATTCATGATTAAACTGATTAATGATGGCAGGTACAAAATATTACATTAACATTCTTTAGTTTACATAAACATTATTTCTGCTTATGCAGATGAAAATCTTTTGATACTTATTGGGCATTAATTCAGAAAAACAATTACTCAAAACATATAGCCCATGCAATGGACTTAAAATAAGAAGAGGAAATCTTGGTCTGGCCAAGTCAATTTTCCTAGAGTTAAATCCAATTAAGTATAAACTTTACATGCTGAAGAAAAACTTCAGTGTCAGAACACCCCAATAACACATAAGAATCCAAGGAGGATGCAGAAAAGGCAAATCATCCCAAATCTTAATCACAGAGTGTTCTTAGCTCAATGGGTTGTGGGTACTGCAACCAAATGCTGATTTTACTTGAAATGACCATGTCATAATAGCTAAGATCATTTGAAATCACTAAGTTGAACACAAAGTATAATTTTGTGATTTAATCTATTCAAGGAATTACCCAAAAATAAAATGTTATAGTGTACATAATATTTCATAATCTTACTATCACAAATGTAAAATGACTGTAAAATAAATTGACCTTGCTGTGTCAATACTTTTTTAGAGGAACTACATGAAATAAGGAACATCACAATAACTAAAAGTTTAACTTTTATTAAATTTGTTAATGAAAAAACATGTTTTGCTATATTTTTGGCAGGCTCAAAATCATTACCTTTGTACAAAAGCTTTGTTTTAGTTTTTGCTAGCTTTTTAAGACACTTTAGTGTGAATACTGGCTTAGTGATGATCCTGCAGTCATCAATTTGACTTTTAATCAAACCTACAACCTAACTGAGGTAAAACTCCCACAGCTGGCCATGTTTATACTGAAGGACATGGAGTCACTGGAGTGTCCTACATGGCTCTATGAAAAAGCTACTCAAGATCTAGTCTCCTGACCTTTGATTTGCCTCATGGTATTTTGGTGAAATATTCTGGGCCCAAAGGAACACAGAAATCAAAATGTG